ATGCCGCGTACTGGCCTAGCCCTCTTCCGATTTTTCAGTCCTGTTTTGCTACTTACCACGGGTATTCAAGATGAAAGTGTGAGCTTTGTGTTCATCAATGAAAATTTCTTGTGAAAATATGTAAGTCTTACCTAAAAACCATACCCAGAGCAGAGAACAGCATTTTTCACGTTAGGACCTTCTCTCTATGGAATTAGCTCATCCTGGATAGTCAGGAGAGAGCACAGGGCAATGCCAAAGAGCAAGCTTACATTACACCCAGTAGTGAATAATTACCTATTACCAGAATAGGAGGAAGAACAGAAAGTCAAGCTAAACAAAATAATCTCTGTGGTAAAATTCCTGAGGCAATTACCTGGTGTGGGAACACTCTCACACGAATAAAACAACCTAAGAAGAACAAATACTTCAGGACAAAAGCCTTGATCTTCTTTGTTGATCTTCTTGTTTCCCATGGTGAGCTGGGATTCTCACTTCAGTCATCTTCACATTTTGCAAGATGGTAAATAAGTTTTGTGATAATGCAGGACAGGATGTCTTATCACGCTAGGCGTGGTGTACCTTACACTGGGATCCTAACCAAGCATGATTCCAATAGTCTAGGACTGCCAGCGAGCAGCTGAAATCTTTGTTTCCACTACGGGGCTCAGCAAGGATTTTGTGTCACCTTGTTCCAGAAGGACCACGCTCACAGACTTTGGGGATAAAACCCTAAAAGAAATTTTAACAGAAATATTGCTTTTCTATGGCAGAGGACCACTGAATAGTAACATCACCCACCCTAACCCCCTCTCTTTTTTTCTTTAGTCTCATCTCTTTCTTTCTCCCCCAGGACGTTGTAGCATTACCTATTTTCTCTGCCAAGCATTATTTTATTCCTCATTCTTCACCGAGGCCTTCCATAGAATGTGCCTTGGTCAGAAATTGATTCTGTTGCAAAAGATAGAAACCCAACTCAAAAGAGTTTAAAGGAAATGTATTGGCTCGCACAACTTGGAAATCAATCCAGATGGCAGATCTGCAGGTATAGCTAGATCAAGGGGTTCAAACTATGTCATCAGATTTTGGTTTTGCTTCATCATTCTGCTCCATTTTTCTCTATCCTGGCTTCATTCTCTACCAGACTGTCCTCTTGGTGGGCTCTAGAAGCTTCAGTTTAGCATGGACATTATAGCAGAAAAGGATACCCCTTTTCTCCCAGTGCCCATTAGTAATTCTCCCACATTGGGAGCCACGATTGGCTCTTCTTGGGTCATGTGCCCACTCCTGAACCTATCACTGGAGCCAAGGGTATAGGCTGATTGGCCCACCTGGGCCACACACCAACCCCTATGATGTGGAGGTGGGAGTCCCTTGAATGACAGTCTCACTAAAATCCCCCCAAAAAGGAATGCTGGGCACGCAAAAAAGTAAGCAACTTCAGACCGCAGATGTATTGGTGTCTCCCTGTCTTGAACCTTCCAATTAGTTTCCAATCTCTCTTCTTTCCTTTTGCTTCTTATTTCTTGACGTGAAATTCTGAGCTGGCTATCAAGCTTGGACTCAGAAACGGCCATCTGGTCCTGCCATGGCCGCCTCTACACCAGAGATCCCGGAGGGAAACTTTGGCTTACAAGACAAATTAGTAGAGAAATACTTTATTTTGAACACTCCAGAACAGGTGTCAGGGGTCCTAGGCCCCTGAATGGACCACTATGTGTGAGCTGGCCCAAGGACTTTTACTGGACAAAGAAGCACCACTACCCCATCAGAACTGTTTGCATGGAATTACTCTTCCTCAGAATTCCACCATCCAAAATGGCAGTCCAAGACATGGTCTTTATCACCAGGATAATGAAACTGATGAAGTTTAATGTTCCATTCGAATAATATCATAAAGTTTACTTGTAGGCCTTTATTGGCTCCCTATGTAATAAAAGAAATCATATTTTCACTGGATGCTCTTCCTAATTTTTCCCCATTATCCGGGGTCTGTTGTTTGGATGGCCTACTTCCTGCTGCCAGCATTGAGAAAACACAGAAAGAGAAGAGACAAAGAGGAGTGGGCTGGGTTTTGTATGCGATTTGCAATGTGATGCGTGGCTAGGTTAAATGAACCTTGCAGCCTGTCTTTGAGCAGAAGAGCAGGACTGGGGAAGATGAAATATATTTCGCCAGGAGTCCTGTTGTTGGATCACGTGTTCATCATGCCTTCCCCCAAGACGAATTGTGGATGTGTGGGGGGCTTCCCTCTGCATTGGCTCTTACTGGTTTCTTACAGTAAACAAGGGACATCAATTACAATGTACACATAGTCAGGGCTTGGAGGTATTTTGTATTTAATACTTGTCTCTTTTGTTTTCTGAGAAACTATAGGTACTATGCTAAAAATGAAATATATTTGAATGCTTATTAATACTTCCAGTTAATTTAGTCTCCTCTGGTTTAAAACTGGGTCTTCCAGGTGAATGTGTGGTGGAATTCAAGATTCTCTCCCCTTCTGCTTCTCTTTTCCTTGCCCTTTTCCTCAGAATCTAGGTTCCTAGGGGCTGGTGTGTTTCCCCAGCACTGAGGAAGCAGCGTTGTCTCGTCTTGACTGGCTTGCAGTTGGATTTCTCCTCCTCACTTCAGCCCCCAGCTCCAGGGTGCCCACCCAGTGGCCTCTGCTACGGCATCCCCCCACCCACCCTGAAGATGCTGTGGGTCTTCATTCCCAGCTCTTTTCCCTACTCTCTCTGGGAGCCTCCGCAACTTTTCCAGACCTCTCTACTCCCACTCAAACCCAAGGGCATCATGACGGGAGTGGTGGTGAGAGGCTGTCAGCCCTTCTCCAGCTAAATAGGTCACCTGGGGTCTCTTTCCCTTCGAGGTAACCCCAAGATAGTGTGGACGCACTCCTGCGGAAAACCAGTAGGAGCTTCTCTGATCTGGAATCCTCAGACTCATCTGTCTCTGTTCAGCACCTTCTCCCCGTGCCTCACAGAGTTTTCAACCCCTAAGGGGCTGCAGAGCAGAAAGTAGGCCCCACACTCAGGTCTCAACCTGATGTCTCCAGCTCTCTCCCACTGTCCTCGAAGAGCTTTCCTCCTCCTTCTGTGGCCTGACCACATAGCATGTAACCTGCTTACTCTACAGTTTCGAGCAGTGGTTCTCAAACTTGGGTGTGTATCAGCTGGAGGGCTCATTATGACACGAGTTGCTGGGCTCGCCCCCAGAGTGTCTGATTCAGTAGGCGTGGTCAGTAGAAGAATGGTCCCTAATAATGATAATGGCACAGGAACCCCTGGAACCTGTGAATAGGTGACGTCGCATGGCAAAAGCGAATTTGCAGAAGTGATTAATTTAAGAATCTTGAGATGGGGAGATTATCCTGGATCATCTGTATGGGCCCGATGTCATCACAAGGGCCATATAAAAGGGAGGGTCAGAGTCAGAGAAGGAGATGAAACAATGGAAGCAGAGGTTAGAGTGATACAGCCACAAGCAAACGAATGCAGGAGGCCTTTGGAAGCTGGAAAAGGCAAGAAATGGATTCCCCCCCAGGGCCTCCAGAAGAAACACAGCTCTGCTGACAACTTGATTTTAGCCCTGTAAGACCCATTTCAGAATTCTGACCTCCAGAACTGTAAAATAATAAATGTACGTTGTTTTAAGCTGCTAGGTCTTTTGTAATTTGTTACAGCAGCCGTGGGAACCTGAAATAGGATTGGGTTGGCTCCTGAGAATCTGCATTTCTCATACGTTCTCAGGTGATACTGATGTGCAGGTCCAAGGACCACACCTTGAGAACCACTGACTCACAGTGAAACACACAATCCTCAGTCTGCTTCCAGACTCCAAACTGCAGGCAGGTACAAACCCTTGGCTGTTTCAACAGCGTCTGAATCACGCAAATGGAAGTTTGATCTTGATAACTCTTATCTCCAAAAAGTACCTATTTTGGAAATCAACACTTAAACCTTGATTTTTTTTCTTTTCTTTCTGTTCTGCCCCTAAAGCGATGGTGGAGAACCCCTGGGAAGTCGGCATGACCAGCCATTGAAAATGGATCATATTAATAATTTCATAACTATTTATCTCACGATATTGTTATCTATTATTTGTGAGTGTGGGGGGAACTGTAGACCACTGTCAGTTTTTCTACCTTTCCCAAATCTCCATGAGGTTGGAGAATAGAAAAAGAAGCTGCACGTTCTAGAAAGGAAATGGGACAAAGAGAGGTTTGCAGCGAGCCAGGTGTCTGGACCTCTGCTTCCCTTGTGTCAAGCTGGGATTTTTTCTGGTTCCTTTTATTCCCACTCTGTTCATCAGCTCCTCCTCTTTTCCCTCCTCCAGGTGAATCTGGCCACATCTCTTTCAATACCTGACATCGTTCCCATCACCAGGGCTTCTCCCGATAACAACACTGGCTTTTCCATCCTCGGATGCTCAGATGGAGGCAACAGGGATGGTTACTATGGATGCCAAACTAGCCAGTCAGTCACATGCCCTTGGTCTGCCAAGAGGCCTCTGGGGTACTTGAGATGGAAGACCTCATCCTAGCATTTCCAGGGACCCTGGAGGAGGTACACAGAGCACTGATTATGTACGACGATCCAATACCTTGGATGCGGTAGTCACAGCGGGATATCAAGGCACAATGAGACAGACTCTGCTTGACTGTGGTCCTTGCCATTTCCTCCTCCTTTTCTCCCTTCCCTCTCTCTTTTTTCTCTTTATCTCTCTTTCTCTTCCTCCTCTCCTGGCAGGCAGTGGAGTCCAATCTGGATTTCAATCCCAGCCCTGCCTTTTGCTAGCTGTGTGACAATGAACTAGGAACTTAACCTCTCTGATCGTTAATTCCCTTAGCTATTTAGAAGGGGTGAAGATACCTACCTCAGCTCTCTAATGAGAACTAGATGAGAGAATATATGAAACATATCCAGTGCAGAGAAGGCACTCAACACTCTCCATGGTGATCGCTTACACCCACCAGCCTTCTCACCGCTAAGTGCTACTCAACCAACAGAGTTCACAGAGAGTGAAGGTAGAAACCACAACTTTAATGGGAAGCTCGGGTTTCCCTCGTCTATAACACTGGGCGCTTATTTGTCTACATGGCCTTATTCTTCCAGTTAGGCATCCTTAGAGCTCTGGGCATGCTCTGTCCATCGTTCTTGAGAAAAAGATCAAATACGCAAGTAGGGACAAAGGAAGCAAAACAGAGGAACAGATAAGACTCCTTCCCCGGTGCGTAAAAGGCGAAGGGGCTTTTAGCGGAGATGGCGTGCCGGATGTCCCGGAGCACCGGGGAGACATCTGGTTGAGACTTCACGTTCAATACACTGAGAAAATTCCGTTCTGCGAGGATATAGTCCTGGCCGTAGTCTTCCTGCACGTCCGGGGTGAGGTGGTCCAAGAGGTTCTTCTCCAGCTTGTCCTGCATTTCACTCGTGCCTGCGATATCTGGGACGCAAGAGGAAAGGGAGGCTCAGAGGCTGGAATGACCAGAATAGGCGTGTCTGACCCTTAATAGGGAGGCAGGCCCTTGTGATGGCTGCCGCTGACAGGCGTTCCCAGACGCCTTTTAAAATATGTACTTTAGAATGGTATTTATTATATATTTTTAAACATACATACAGAAAAGTGCACAGATGACTGAGTTTTCACAAACTAAATAGCTCATGGAACCCGCAATTGGATCAAGAAAAGGACAGGACCAGTCTGCAAGCGTCCCCGCCCCCTCCAGCCCCCTTTCCAGGAGCCACTGTCCCGACTGACAGAACAGAGTAGTTTCCCCTGGCCTTGGACATTATATAAATGGAATCTGACTTGACTTTAAGAGATCCATCCATGTATTGTGTGGTCATTCTCATTGCTGCAGCGTTTTCCGTTGTGTAAATATGCCATAAATTATCTATCCAATATATTGTAATGGACATTTGCATTGTTTTCACTTGGGGCTCTTACAAATAGCGCTGCCACAAACGTTCTAGAAAATGTCTTTTCACGACTATTATATACAATATAAAATATAATGTATACAATATGTTATGTATGAAATATGTATGTACATACAGACACATATACGTATAGACAAATAACTTTTTAAAATATAGAAATAATGCCTGCTTCTATGTGTAAAATTAAATATATAATGTTAACTATCATTTATCTATTTAATACATATAATGTAATTTAATTTTAGACAACAGATATTAAATATAATTTAAATATACATTTAAAATTTAATATATAAATTATATATGACTGAATATATAAATATAGGGGCCTGCCCCGTGGTGTCGTGGTTGAGTTCATGCACTCCACTTTGACAGCCTGAGGTCCGCAGGTTTGGAGCCCAGGTACGGACCTATACACTGCTCATCAAGCCATGCTGTGGCAGTGTGCCACATAGAAAATAGAGGAGGATTGGCACAGATGTTAGCTCAGGGACAGTCTTCCTCACCAAAAACAAATATACATATATATAAATATATTTTTAATATAGAAGTAATGCTTGCTTATTATATAAAGTTTAATAATATATATTTACTTTAAAATATAGTAGCAAAGCTTGCTCATCGTATAAAGTCCATAATAAACAGATGTCTATGTTTTTAAAAGTAATCTCTTCTGAGGGAAGTAACAGTCTTGTGTGTCCTTTCACATTTCTGTGTCCTCCTGTTCATACGAACATATATACACATAGAAGGCTTTGGTTTAATTTTATTTTACCAGGAACAAACAAAACCCAAAAAGGACCATACTATATATATTTTTCAGAAATGCCCTTTTTTTCTTTTTCTTTTTCTTGGTTTTTGTTTGGTTTTTTGCTTAGTAATAAGTGACAGGCTTGCCTCCTGGTCAATGGCTATAGATTCAAGCCAGAGCAGCAGAATTTCCCACTGAACAGGTTTTAGTCAACCTTCCCTCTATCGAATGACTTTCTAGCTGTTCCTAGGTTTACCATTTCAGGTGATGCTGCCCAAACCAGCCTTGCACCAATATCCCGTTGTATTTCAGCATTTACTTCTGCAGCCTACAGTCCCCAAAGTGTGGCTGCCTGGTCAAAAGTCACATTCATCTTGAATTGTAACAGCTGCTGCCAGATTACTTTCCAGAAAGGCTGCAGCACCCACACTCCCTCCTGCAAAGTGTGTGATGTTCAGGGGTGCTGTGGGGATGAGCCTTTGTTTGCAAGCTGGGGTGACTCCTGGATATCAGGACTGTGGGGGAGCCTCGCAGTGAAATGTAAGCCAGAGAAACCCAATTATACTCATGGAATGCAAACAGAGTTTCAGTTGCTCAAGTCTTTTCATGAAGGCGCAATGATTACCCTGACGATTACTCTGGAGGCTTCCAGGTCTTGAAATACAAGTTGGCACGAACTATTGTTCCTCCAGCCACGTCTCCCCCAGTCTCTGCTTTCACAGGCTGGGCCATTCCTTTTCCTCTTCACTTCCTCCCTCTTTTAAAGACCTCATGAACTTTCTACGTACTCCTGTGGGTGCCCTGTCCAGAGTCCCCAAAGCTCTCTTTATTGGTGATAAAGCCACCAGCCTTACGTCAACCTTCATCTACTACTTTTGACGCCCACTCACCCATCCCCTGCCACTTTGGGGCTACACACAATGAAATTAAGATGGCCTGGATCCAAATCCTATCTCTGACTCATATCAGGTCTGTAGATTGGGAAATTCCTTAACTTCTCTGAGCCTCATTTTCTCCCTCGGAGATGGGAATATCTTGCCTAACTGATAGGCAAGGTTTAAGTGAGATGGCGCATGTAAAGTCCTTAAAATCTGCTAAGCATACAGTCTGTTTAGCTATTTTTATTGCAGGGCACTAAAAAGTCAACTATGTCTCCTTGAATGTATTTAGAAGCTCTTTGTGTCCCCGAAGATTCCTTTCCTTGTCCCCCATTTCAAGCGTCCCTCTCCAGACTTGAGTTCTCAGCCCTCCACTGTCTAGCCTCTTGCCTTCAGAGAGCCCATCAAATATCAGCTTTAAACTGAGGGCAGCCTGGTATAAAAGAAAGAATTGGGCACTGCACTTAGAGGTGTGGTTTCAAATTCCTTGCTGTCATGGTGTGCCCGACACTCACACTGGGGTATATATCACCTACCCCACCCAAGTGTCCTTACCTGGTGAATGATCTCAATTAAACCTATCCCTCAAGGGCTGTGGTGCAGATTAAGACCTACATGGAAAGGGTGTGCGCATAAATTGGAACAATATTTTAGAAAATAGCTTGGTATTATCCAGCAAAGTTGAAGATAAGCTCTATGATCCACTCATTCCACTCCTGGCTATGTATCATAGGAATTATCACATACACACACACCATAGTACCTGTGCCAGAAGGTCCATAGCTAAATTGTTCATAATTGTCCAAAGTGACCCAAATATCCCATCAACAGTAGAACAATCGTGGCATGTTCACAAAATACTAGACAGCACTGAAAATGAATCCACACCAAATGGATGAATTGTGAAAACATAATGTCGCATAAAAGAAACCAGATGCAAAAGAATACATACACATTGATTCCATTCAAGGTAAGGTTCAAAAACCAGTAAAGCCAAACTCTCTTGTTTAGGGGTGCATGTAAGGATGTAACACCATAAAGAAAAGCAAATACACAATTGTTACACAAAGTAAGAGAGTGGTTATGTTTTGGGAGTGGGAGAGGGCTATAAGAGAAGAGGATTACATGGGGGCTTCTGGGTGCTGGCAATGTTTTATTTTTTGATGTGATGTTAAGCACATGAGTTTTTATAATAATTTGTTAAACTATGTGTGCATATGATCTATTTCTCAGTTAAAAAAAAATAAGATCAACAGCATCAAGAAAGAATGTATGGAAGGTAGCTAGTGCCTGATAAGAACAGTTCCCTCATAAAGCTATCTATAACAATTTCGATGAATCCTCGAAACTGTATTTTAACCACAGGGTAGCTCTCTAGTCCAAATGGAGTCTTACATCTGTGTGTTGGAAGTTTTCTTTGGCTGTGTCACCAAACCCTCAATTCTCCTGCCATTTTCAAAAGCAAATTCATCCTTTCCACTTATACCACCCATCGGCTGGCTTTTTTCTTTCTGTGTCACACCTTCTATCCCAGTCTCTCAGTCTGTCACATTTGGCATCATCTTTGACCTACCCACCTTCTCCCTCAATCCCCTCAATTCTCCTCCCTGTCCAGGGAGGAGTCCCCAAGTTGGAAGCCCCTCTCAGGACCTCATCTTCCCTCCATTGCCATCGCCCTGGTCTAGCCTCTCAACCTGGATGGCCCAGGCCTCTCTCTTGGTCTACCTCCCAGAATAGCTGTTGCACCAAGGTGCACTCCTCCTGGACAACTCTGAGATCCCCACTGCCAAATGTTTCAAGAAAAAGTTCAGTTTTTCTCTTTAGATTTTTATCTTGTGAGTTTGGGCTAACCTTCAAACCTCTAGGATTTTGTTGTTTAATGTGTTAGCAGTTCCTCCCAGTTTGTGGTCTTTCATTAGACGTGCTTTTTCATGTCTTCACTTAAATCATCAATGAAATGTTCGATGGCCCAGAACTAAGGACTGAGCCGTGGGGGTAGTCTGCACCTGCCCAGAGTTCAAAAATTCAGGGAGGAGAGAGAGAATGGCCATCACCTCGGGGGGTATAAGGGAGGTGGGTCATATTCTTCAGAGGAGAGGAGAGGAGGTGGTGTTTGAAAAACACATTACGTCAAAACTTGACTCCTACACAAACAACGAAGTAGCAGAAAGAGAAATTAAGAATACAATCCCATTTACAATGCAAGAAAAAGAATAAAATACCTAGGAATAAACTTAACCAAAGAAGTGAAATATCTGCACACTGAAAACTATAAAACATTGTTGAAAGAAAGTGAAGAAAACACCAAGAAGTGGAAAAATATTCCATGCTCTTGGATTGGAAGAATTAACATAGTTAAAATGCCCATACTTCCTAAAGCAATCTACAGATTCAATGCAATCCTTATCAAGGTTCCAACAACATTTTTCACAGAAATAGAACAAAGAACCCTAAAATTTATATGGAACAACAAAAGACCCAGAAAGCCAAAGAATTCCTGAGAAAAAAGAACAAAGCTGGAGGTATCACACTCCCTGATTTCAAAATATATTACAAAGCCATAGGAACCAAAACAGCATGGTACTGGCACAAAAACAGACACACAGATCAATGGAACACAATTGAGAGCCCAGAAATAAACCCACACATTTATGGACAGCTAATATTCAACAAGGGAGCAAGAACATACAGTGGACAAAGGAGAGTCTCTTCAATAAATGGTGTCAGGAAAACTGGACAGCCACATGCAAAAGAAGGAAAGTAGACCATTATCTTACACCATGAACAAAAATCAACTCAAAATGGATTAAAAATTTGAATGTCAGACTTGAAACCATGAAACTTAGAGAAGAAAACATAGGCAGTACGCTCTTTGACATCGGTCTTAGCAACATTTTTTCAAATACCATGTCTGACCAGGCAAGGGAAACAATAGAAAAAGTAAACAAATGGGATTAAATCAAACTAAAATGCTTCTGCACAGCAAAGGAAACCATCAACAAAACGAAAAGACAACCTAACAACTGGGAGAAGATATTTGCAAATCATATATCAGATAAGGGGTTAATATCCAAAATATACAAAGAACTCATACATCTCAACAACAAAAAAACCAACAACCCAATTAAAAAATGGGCAAAAGATCTGAACAGAGATTTCTCCAAAGAAGACATACAGATGGCCAACAGGCACATGAAAAGATACTCAACATCATTAACTATCAGGGAAATGCAAATCCAAACTACAGTGAGATATCACCTCACTCCCATCAGAATGGCTATAATTAACAAGACAGGAAACAACAAGTGTTGGAGGGGATGTGGAGAGAAGGGGACCCTCCTAAACTTCTGGTGGGAGTGCAAACTGGTGCAGTCACTATGGAAAACAGTATGAAGTTTCCTCAGAAAATTAAGAATAGATCTACCTTATGATCCAGCTATTCCACTGCTGGGTATTTATCCAAAGAACTTGAAAACACAAATGCATAAAGATACATGCACCCCTATGTTCATTGCAGCATTATTCACAATAGCCAAGACTTGGAAGCAACCTAGGTGCCCATCAAGGGACGAATGGATAAAGAAGATGTGGCATACATAGATAATGGGATACTACTCATTCATAAGAAATGATGAAATCGGCCATTTGTGACAACATGGATGGACCTTGTGGGTATTTTGCTAAGTGAAATAAGTCAGAGGGAGAAAGTCAAATACTGTATGATCTCACTCATAGGTGGAAGACAAAAACAACAACAAACAATCACATAGAGACAGAGATTGGATCGGTGGTTACCAGAGGGGAAGGTGGGAGGGAGGGGAGGAAAGGGGTGAATTGGCACATGTGTGTGGTGATGGATGGTAATCAGTCTTTGGGTGGTGAACACGATGTAATCTACACAGAATTCGAAATATATTACAATGTACACCTGAAAAAAAATAATGAAAACTTTTTAAAAAGAAGAATTTCACAGTCACTGCCAGTTAGGGATGGAATGATCTGTGCACCCGTAAGTGGAAAGAAACAAGATGAGGTTTACAAAAAATTTACGTAGTATAATGTTGAAGGGCGTGGCAGGCTGAATAATGCCCCTTCCCAAGATGTCCATGTCTTGCTCCCCAGACTTGTGAATATGTTACCTTCCGCGGTAAGGGAAAATTTGCAGATATGTTTACGTTAAGGATCTTGAGAAGAAGGAGATGGAACAATGGAACAGAGGTTGGAGTGATGCCCTTTGAAGGTGGAGGAAGGGGTCAGGAGCCATGGAATGCAGCTGGTCTCTCAAAGCTAGAAAAGACCAGGAAACAGATTCTCCCCCCTGAAGCCTCCAGAAGGAACACTGTCCCGCCAACACCTTTAGCCCCATAAGACTCATTTGGGACTTCTGACCTCCAGAACAGTCGGAGAATAAATTTGTAGTAATTTATTACAGCACCAAAAGGAAACTAAAATGGGGAGAAAAGGCTTCCTCCAAAGACCTCAAAAGCCAAGCAATTATTTTATTATTCTTCTCAACATCCTAGAGAAGATAAAGAAAAATGGAAAAAGAGAGAAGTTAGAGCAAGTCACCTAAGACAAAAGCAAATAAATAGAACAGGGAAGAAAATACCAAGTTTGATACCCAGAGGGAGAGATGATCCTCCCAACTCCAAAAACACATCTCTCTGGAGGGCTCCCAAGCTTCATTTGAGGGAGAGGTTCAGGTCTTGCCTTGGGGAAGCCCATTTCATTTTGAGCTTTTCGGGCTCACAGTGAAGAAGACAGTGCCTCACATTTGGTTACTGTCACTGCCAATAGAATGATGTTCGTGCCACAAGAACAGGTACTAATTGACTCCACAGCCAGCAATGCCCAGCCTGACCCCAAATAAAAAGAAAGTGTTATCTGTATTAGCCACAAAGACAGAGAAGAAATTCTCTTACCCTCTCAGAGCAGGCAAAGTTTGTGCTGATGTTTATGGGAGAAAAAGGAGAAAGCAAAGTCAGGAAGAAAACACATCTGCATCACTCACATCCCAAGGTAGGTAAACAGACTAAGAACTCTGGGGAATGCCAAATTTAGTTCTCTCCATCGTTCCGAACTCGCAGATCCCTTGCAAATACGTTTAAATCAATAACGTCACCTTCTAAAATAAACATCTTTTCATTTATGAATTTTTCCCCCATTTTGACCATGTAAGACCTGCAAGTTGAACAAACACCAGGAGATAAAGGCAAAAGGCAGATAATCTCCAGGTAAGAAATGTGGAAAAAAAAATATATGTGTGTGTGTGTGTGTATAGCAAATAGAAAAAAATTAACCTTTGATGAGAAAAACCCTAACTCCTTTGTGGAATGATGCAGGGCAACAACCATACAGTGAAGAACCTCGCCCTTGCCCCTCTATTCTTAAAAGAGGCCACTCATTCCAACACCTCTTTG